ATCACGCCAAGACCGTGATGTTGGCGATGCAGAGGTTGCCAAGGATTGAGTGGAGAGGTTCTCTAGATTATGTTTCCAGCAGGGTGATTTCTTATTTAAAGGCTCAACGGATGGTTGGGAATGGATGTATGTCATATTTGGCCTTTGTGAGGGATGTTGGGGCTGATACTCCTATTATTGATTCTGTTCCGGTGGTGCGAGATTTTCTGGATGTGTTTCCTGCAGACCTGTCGGGCATGCCGCCCGATAGGGATATTGACTTTGGTATTGACTTGGTACCGGGGACTCAGCCCATTTCTATTCCTTCATATCGTATGGCACCAGATGAGTTGAAGGAATTGAAAGAGCAGCTTCAGGAAATTCTTGATAAGGGGTTTATTAGGCCAGTGTGTCTCCTTGGGGTGCACCAGTTCTGTTTGTGAAGAAGAAGGATGGTATTATGCGAATGTGCATTAACTATAGGCAGTTGAACAAAGTTACAATCAAGAACAAGTATCATTTGCAGCATATTGATGATTTATTTGACCAGCTTCAGGGAGCGAGGGTATTCTCTAAGATTGATTTAAGATCTGGGTACCATCAATTAAAGGTTCGGGACTCGGATATTCTAAAGACGGCATTCAGGACCTGTTATGGTCATTATGAGTTCATTGTGATGTCTTTTGGGCTGACCAACGCCCCAGCAGTATTCATGCATATGATGAACAACGTATTTCAGCCTTATCTCGACTCATTTATCATAGTATTCATTGATGATATCCTGGTACACTCTTGTAGCCAGGAGGAGCATGCCCATCATTTGATGGTGGTGTTGCAGCGATTGAGGGAGGAGAAACTTTATGCCAAGTTCTCCAAGTGTGAGTTTTGGCTTAGTTCGGTGGCGTTCTTAGGCCACGTGGTGTCCAGTGAGGGGATTAAGGTGGATCTGAAGAAGATAGAGGTGGTTCAGAGTTGGCCCAGACCGTCCTCAACTACGGAGATTCAGATTTTTCTCGGCTTGACCGGTTATTATCGTCGCTTCGTGGAGGTTTTCTCGTCTATTGCATCGCCTTTGATCAAACTGACCCAAAAGGGTGCTACTTTCAGATGGTCGGATGAGTGTGAAGAGAGCTTTCAGAAGCTCAAGATTGCCTTGACCACAACTCCAGTTCTAGTTTTACCTTCAGCTTCTGGCTCTTATACAGTGTATTGTGATGCCTCTCGAATCAATATTGGGTGTGTCTTGATGCAGGAGGGGTAGAGCGATTGCTTATGCTTGCGTCAGTTGAAGCCTCATGAGAAGAACTACCCCGTCCATAATTTGGAGTTGGCTGCCATCGTTCATGCATTGAAGATTTGGAGGCATTACCTCTACGATGTGTCTTGTGAGGTATTTACGGATCATTGGAGTCTCCAACACTTGTTCAAACAAAAGGTTCTAAATTTGAGGCAGCGGAGATGGTTGGAACTGCTAAAGGACTATGATATTACCATTCTGTATCATCCCGGGAAGGCCAATGTGGTGGCCGATGCCTTGAGTAGAAAGGCGGTGAATATGAGCCTTGCATTCATTCCTGTTGGTGAGAGACCGCTTGCAGTTGATGTTCAAGCCTTGGCCAACTAGTTCGTGAGATTAGATGTTTCGGAGCCCAGCCGAGTTCTAGCTTGTGTGATTTCTCGGTCTTCCTTATATAATCGTTTCAGAGAGCGTCAGTATGATGATCCCCATTTGCTTGTCCTTAAGGACGTAGTTTAGCACGGTGATGCCAGGGATTTTACTATTGGGGATGATGGGGTGTTGAGAATGCAGGGTCGGATATGTGTGCCTAATGTAGATGGGCTATGTGAGTTGATTCTTGAGGAGGCCCATAGTTTGCGGTATTCCACTCATCCCGGGTGCCACGAAAATGTACCAGGACTTGAGGCAACATTATTGGCGGAGGAGAATGAAGAAGAATATAGTGAGGTTTGTAGCTCGGTTCCTAAAAGATATATTAGGGAGTAAAAGTGGAGATAGTAAGGAAGTTGGGGAAATGGGGTTAGTTAGGATTTATTTTGTTACTTTTTGTTTGGCTTTTCGTTAGTTACCTTTATTTAAATAACTTTTTGCCCTTTTTTTTAACTTTTTACTAACCCCTTTTTATTAAATAAAAGGGAGGTAATATATATATATATATATATAAGTTGTTATATATATATAACAACTTACTTTTAGACTTAAAAGAAAACTATATAATTAAGAGAACCCAATATTTACAATATAACTTAAATTATACTAAGAAAAATATCATAGCTTACTTATTAAAATTCTAATTAAAAGAAAGCAAATATTTTTTGTAAATTTTCTTTTTCTCTTTAGACATAAATTTTGTATTCTAAGAGTGAATATTTTTTTTTGTAAAAAAAAATCATATTAAAAGTAAGCTGAAAGTTTAAAATATCAATATTAGACCTAAAAGGAATATTTACACTATAATAATATGGAATTCGGGTTTGGTCAAAAATTAGTTATTCACAGAAAGTTTGTCATTTCATATAAATACTTTCACTATTGAGTTTATCCTTAAATAATTAATTGAAATTGAGGTTATCGAAAATCATTAACCTATTTTTATTGGAGTTGTGATTAGTGAGGGTGTTGTTCCTTATTGAGTTACTTTCCCGTTCATTTTGTTGTTATTGAGATTCCATACACATTGTGTTGAGTCGTGGGCTATTTGTTGGATCTTTGGAAAGGTTGTGGCCTATGGGTACTTGTGATACGAATTGATACGTGGCATTGTTGTGATGTTAGCATTTGTAAATTGTTGTGTGGTTTGGTTGTTGTTATGCAGAGTATAAGGGTGGCATTTCACCGTTGTTGTTATGCAGAGTGTAAGGGTGGCATTTCATCGTTGTTGTTATGCGGTGCATAAGGGTGGCATCTCACTATTGTTGAATGTACGGAGTGATAAGGGTGGCTATCAGAGAGATAATAGTGGTAAATTTTATCGTCCGGGCGGAGTAATAAGGGTGGCTATTATACAGAGTTATACGGGTGGCTATCAGAGAGATAATGGTGGCTAATGATATTGTCATGGCAGAGTGATACGCGTGACTATCGGAGAGATAAGGGTGGCAATGTTAGGGATGATGGTTTGGGGACACTGTGTTGGTAATTTTTGTGTGATGTTGTGCTTTTCCTTGTGTATGTCTTGCACCTTATGTGACTTGTTGTGTTGTTTCGATGAGCTACTCGACGTCTTTGATATTATTTGTTGACTTGGGCTGTAATAGTACACTCGTACAAGCATACACCGTAGCATGCCACTTATACTAGCTTAGGAGTATAAAATTTGACATTCATTGATTATGCCCATGTGTTCTTGTATTATCCGTTTTCATGTTGCTATTGAGCCTGTGATCATACCGGACGGATTGTGATTGTAACCTTTGATCATGCCGGGCGGATTGTGATTGTGAGCTTGTGATCATACCGGACGGATTGTGAATGTGATCCTATGATCATGCCGGGCGGATTGAGATATTGGCACGTGAGTTGTCTGTGTGGTTGTGATTTGAAATGCGGGCACAAGGTGCCGTGAGCATATGATGGTGGGTTGAAACCCGTGACTTGTGACTATGAAATGAGGTATCTCGGGTAATTTTCGTTACGAAACTTGTGGTAGAACGACTTGATATGTTCCTTATTTAGTTTCAGCGATACTTCATGGTGTTCTTATTGCTTTACTGTTATTACCAGTTGTTGACTCTTGTTGCCATTTATTGATTTTTGCTTTCCATTATTAGCTTTATACTGCTATACTGTACATATTATTTTGTCTAGTGAGTGTCTTGACTTGTACCTCGTCACTACTCCACCGAGATTAGTCTTAATACTTACTGGATACCGATCGTGGTGTACTCATACTACACTTTTGCATATTTTTTTGCAGAGCCAGGTTTTGGAGATATCAGACTCGGGCAGAGTTAGCTTGTTGATCGCGAGGATTCAAGGTAAAGCTGCTTGGTCGTTGCAGTCACTTAGAGTCCTTTCCTTACATTGTACTGTCATTTGTCATTTGAACAATATTGTATTTAGATTCTTGAGATCATTCCATGTGCTTAGCTAGAGTTCGTGACTCTGTATTACCAAATCTTGGAAGGTTGTTATGGTTATTGCCGCGTAGCTTATTCCACTTTTATTTCGGTATTTATTTTAAACTTTGTTTCAAATTATCATTGTTAATAGCTGGCTTAATTGTTACAGTAATCGGCTTACCTAGTCTCAAAGATTAGGTGCTATCACGACATCTTACGGAGGAAAATTGGAATCGTGACACATTCCTAGATCCCTGTTATTCTTTTTCGTCTCCATATAGATTTGCACACCCATATCATTGCGAATTTCCATTAGAGGACACATTTCGTTGACTCTTTATTTGATTTTAATGATTTTAACAGATGTATCCGTTACTAGATGTTCTGCAATTATTGAATTCAATGCACTGTAACTTGAATCTGCGTTGATTACAATTCTATCGGCATCGAAATCAACATATCTCCCGCAGCTATACCACCGATCACTGTGTTGAAGCATTATTACAAGTGTTGCTATTGAAATTCACTTGTTGAAGCAATTTCAAACTTGAAAAAATATTTTTTTATTGTCAAATTGTATAGAAATCTGCTATATCTTCGAAGCTGATAAATTATGTTTCACATTCATTTGTTGAGTTTGAATTTGTTGAGTTTTGTTGTAAAAGCAGAGCAAATTAGCTAGAGATGGATGCGTATTATATTGTTTGTAGATTGTAGCATATCTATTTTGGAGCTGAAAATAATTTTGTTGCTTGAATCACGTGTTTAATTAAAGAAACCCATAGATGGAAGGACGCTAGTTTAAGGGACTGTATATAATTTGTAACCAAATCTTGTTTAAGGCGATTAATATATAAAATTTGGATAATTTTGGTAAATAAGTTTAGAAAAAAAATCCTTGTAATTTCTTTCTTTTCCGGATAAGTCCAATTCCAAATACGTGGGCCGAATAGCCGATAGTCACTACAGCCCGGCCTTGTGTTGAATTTCCTACACTCGAATTACCAGCAATGGGGGCGTAAGGTACGGTGGCGGGAGATTGCAATTCTCCCCTTCAATCCATGGCTGAGAAGTGCAAGTATTCTTGCAAGACTGCTAGTGAAACCCTAGAATGGATTCATGCAATTATCCACTTCATATCACCCTACCGTTATTTCTTAGATGCTCATGTCGTCAATTTCTTCAAGGTCTTCCCATTCATCCTCATTTCAGCTTTACCATAGATGAATTAATATTAGGCTATTTTTGCACTACCTAGCATTCTCCTTACGCATGTTATAAACTTCTTTTGTGAGTATATACAGGATAGACTATGGGAAGCAGTTGATAAAGAGTGGATGCATTGTTTACGGAAGGAGCCTGTTGAAAATCTTCTCCGAATTCCTTCTGGTGTCGTTCAGGTAGTTATCAGTATCTTCCTTATTTCCTTGCCTCTAAGCTTTATAAGTTTTCTTGTCAATTTCATGTGTATTTCAACAACAACAACAAGGTACCCAGTGTATTTCAATAAATTATTTAGTGTCTTATTAATAAAGCATTTCTTTTTCGATTTTTTTTTTAGTTAATTGGAGTTGTAGAAAGTTTAGAGCTGCTTGGCGGTTTATTAGCTGCTTTGCTTCCAGAAAGAGGAACTGCATATTGTTCGTGAGAAATTACTTGTAGAAGGTCAAGCATTAGTACATATTTTCACCCCAACACTACTTATACTTTCTGATAAGTATTTAACTTATTGATAAAATATGAGAATTTAAGAAGCTAAAGTTAAGAACTAAGCTAAGCTAAGGAAAAGGAAATAACAGATTTCATTCATAGCCTCTGAAGATGGCAAGTTCGATACATATAGGGGAAATAAGGCCTAGGGGTCAAAGTGAAATAAAAGTAACTTAGGGGAAATAAAGTAACTACTTATTGGACTGAAATGCTACGTAAAAACTACTAACTAATAGGTAAATAACCAACCCAACTCCCATGTACACTTCCGGGAACATAAAATACTACTCCCACAACTGCTTCATTTCCATATCGTATCACTTATCTCGAATGTAACAAGTGGTTGTGGTGAACAATGGTAGAGTTAGGTCATGTCCTCG